TCACTCTTTCTGACAATCCTATGTGCGAATCAATCACTTTCATGGCCAGAGACTGAGACCTTAGGGGACTAGGGAGATAGCTCAATGGCATAAGTGCCTGCCTGGCAAGTACAAGGTCCTGAGTTCAATCCCTAGTGCCAGAAGGAAAAAAAAAAAAAATCAGATCGAGGACATCCAGCCCTGGCCTCACTCCACGTCCTGTCACCAGTTCTCCCCAGGTCTGCATTCCTGGAAGAGCAGGAAGGAGCACTATGAGCCTAGGCTGGGACCATCTTAGCCCCAGCAAGGCCCAGGACCTACAATTTAGACCTCAAGTCCCTTCCTCACTCTCAAGAAACAGGCAGAAAACATTTTGGGCCTCTCCCTACAGGCTGTACACTAGTCCAGGGTGGAGCTGGAGGCCCAGCTCCTCCACACGACGAGCACTGCAGGCCTCCATGGGGCCTCCCAAGCACTATCCACCCACACACATGGCAGAAGGGCACAAAAGGACACACAGAAAGGACATACAGGAAATGGGTACTTGGGGGGTTGGAAAGAGGCACGAGGTTTTGGAGCAGAGATTTAGTGACTGAGAGGGGATTTTTAAGTTGGAGATTCATTCACGACAGAAGAGAGCAATGAGGGAGCTGGGAGAGATGGGTTAGAAATTGCTTAGCCCAACAGACCCTTTGAGTAACGGAAGCAGCCCAGAGAACAGGCCACCACCTCGGAAGGCTGAAGTTCGAGTCAGACACGGCCCTCCCTTAATTCCCAGCATCTTCCCTGACAACTTCCTTACTGTCCAAGTGAAAACCTAAGTGAGCACAGCCCCATTACCCCTTGAAGGCTAGTCCCATGTATGCTGGCTCAGCTGTCGGTTAGGCCAGACAAACCTCAGACCTTAGAGCAGCCTATCTACCTCCTTCAAACACATGTGGTCATTATAAGGTAGAAAGGCTGCATGCAAACCCAGAGGGGCAAACTATTACAGCACCAAATCAGGCTGAGAAGGCAGAGTGTGGTCAGCTCCTTCCAGCCCCCACATAACACGCAGGAGCCCTAGAACACAGCAGCTGGGCCCTAGTGACCTTTTCCATCTCATAGGCTACAGCTGCTCTGACAAGAACCTGGCACTGGGATGAGCTACAGCATGGGCTGCAGCTTCACAAAGAAAGGGGGATGCACAGATAACAACCACCCCATCCATCCAGGCTCTTGGGCCCTACGTGCACACAGGTCCAAAACATCCACTGTGATTCTGTACAGAGCTGGAGATCTATTTCCCAGTTACTTCATCAAATAACAGGTTAGGGGCCAGGGAGATAGCTCAGTAGAATAAGCGCTTGCCTGGCAAGTGCAAGGGCCTGAGTTCAATTCCCAGTTCCACAAAAAAAAGAACAAGTTAGTAGGTGCCAGACACAGTACAAGGCAGGAGGCAGGAGGGGGCCCATTGCTGTTCCTATTCCCAACCAGCTCACTCCAGGACAGACTGTATGTTCCACCAAAGATCCTACACTCAGTCTCAGGGATGCAGACCTACAATCAAGAAACCCCAAGGCTGCAGACTTGAGCTGGTGCTACAGCTCTTGCCTGGAGCACGTGAGGCATGAATTCGATCCCAGGCCTGGGGGAGAAACGATCACTAAGCCCCGATCTAGAGTGCCTGCCTCCTACTCAGTCTCTAAATGCTCCTTACAAGCTCTAATACATTCTCCTTCAGCTAAGATGCAGGGACAGGAGCTAAAGGGAACTCACTGTGCCATGAGCACCCACTTTGGAGCAGCTCCTGGTGACCCAGAGAGCAGGTGTGGGGACAGGAACAGATCTCATGCACACAAGGAAAACACCTCAGTGCGGGGATCAAAGGCAGCCGCGGGCTCTTCGTCCAGCCTCTCGGAATCCAGCAGCATTTTTAACCAGTGTACAACCTGATGCTCCAACAGGCAGAGGGTACCCAAGAGGCAACGCTGGGCTGGGTGGCAAATGCTGTGCCACCAGGAAGCACCAGGAGCCCCAGGTCCACCAAGGGGTAAAGCTCCAGGCTGGCAGAGCCGGTCATCCAGGCAAGGGGCCACACTGCTCCACTGCTTTGCTTTGCCATCGTAGACTGGCAGCCTCTGTAACATGGGCACGCAGCAGTCTACCGGCCCCAAGGTGGGATTTACATGCTGAGGGGCACTCAGGGAGGCAGACTGTCCCATTAAGAGGGATGATGGCAGGATAGTGAGGTTCATTTCCTCCCAGACACAGCACTCCTGTTACCACCAAATGTTATTCTGAAATGAGTCACGCCTATAAAAGCATAGATTTACATCTTTGCCATTTATTTTTTAAAATCTTATTCAAAATATTAAATAATACAATTTCATTTTTTTAATAATACAATTTCAGATATGAAAAAATTACTGCAATACAACAGTTCAGGCATATTTCCGCTGCGCTCCCTTCCTCCTCAGCGCAGCAGACCTGCAGCGGAGATGGGGGCAGCACTGCTCCTCCCTTCTCGCCGTAAGCGCAGGCCACTGCCTGGGCTTCACCCACGATGGCAGAGGTCGTGTTCCCTAAAACGCCGCAGCAGCACCTGACCTAAAAGTCAACTGCGGTTCAAATCATGTATTTACACATTGATCTTTTTTTTTTTTTTTTTTTTGCGGAACCGGGGATTGAACTCAGGACCTTGCACATGCTAGGCAAGCACTTATTCTACTGAGCTATCTCCCCAGCCCTGATCAATTCTTTATGACAGAAAGACAGGCTAACATAAAATACAGTAATTTCCAGTTGCTGTAAAAAGAAAATATACTAAGTCCAGGAGGGAGAAGTCATTGTACACATATATCCTTTATGTATACAAACAAGTTCATTCAGGTATAATTTTAATTCCAAAAACCTAAAAACAACATTATTCAAGTGATAATGTTCCCTAAAAGACCTATTCAAACTTATTTCACAATAAAAACAATGATGTAATTGTAAACTCTGCCCACTGCTTGAGAACTTGGAGGCATCTGTGCTACCCTCAACTGCATCTACAAGTAACCGTTGGTGTGTCTTAACACCTCACCACAGCTCCTACTAGGTCTCAACTTAATGCAGCAATTCAAACCAAACCAAACAACGGTGTCCACGTTGCATTTTCTCTATACCCACCGCAAACTGTAGTCCTTTTTGCCATAATTTCTAGACACATTTAATGTTACCCAAAAGTGGTCAAATTGACCAACACCATTATCTTAAACCGTGTTTGTTGCCTGAGTTATCTAAAGAGTTTTCGTCAGAAAACAAAATGTTACTTAAATGTGAAGCATTATCACATCCATCCTTGTACATTACAGTTGGTGACCACCAAGAAATTTACAATAAAAATTAGTATTTGGATGGCAAGTGAAATTTAAGAAACTGGCACTAGATATGTTAGAATTTAGTTAAAAGCTTGGGATCTTTTAAAAATACTGTAACTTCCAGAAATAGTACAAGAAATGAAAAGTAATAGAAACTAGAGGCAGAGTATAAATATAAGGTAACGCTTAACTTACATTTGGGAACCTGGGTGAATCAGCTCTAAAAGTGTAGATAAAAAATTATATACTCCTGCTGTGACGTTTGATTTCCAAAGCACCAAGGCAAGAAAGCTCCGCCTCTTATTTAAGTACCAAATGCTATGGCAAACACCTGCACAATAGCATATAAAAAGTCAAGCAAATAAAATTACATAATAAGCAAACTCGAATCAGTGCTTTAAAAAATATAATCATTGGTAATCTTCAGAGAAGGCATGGCCTCGTGAACGTTCTGGTCCAGGCGGTGATATTCCACTGTTTTAGAACAAAGGCCATCACGCCACTTTCTGCTTTGAACTAGGAGGAAAATCTGCAACACAACAAAATGAATCAGACAAGCAGAAGTGGAAACAAGACCTGGCAACAAGTGAAATACCTTTCTCTACATTCCCCAACACAACTATTACATATCATCAACAACAAAAGGCCCGGATGGTACTCCTCAAATGTCAACATACACAGGGGTCTAAATGACTAATGACTGAATCTGAGGCACTCCCTTCAGAGCCAGACTTAGAGGCAAGCCTACTTGTTTCACCAAATGCCTTAGGACTTCACACTACCAACACCAAACACTGAGATGATGGATCATTAGCATTCAAAATTCTGGGCTGGGGAGATAGCTCAATGGTCTAAGCGCCTGCCTGGCAAATGCAAGGACCAGGTTCAATTCCCAGTACCACATTCTGTGCTGCCCCTGAAACAGGGCATGGTGGCAAATGCCTACAATCCCAGCACTGGGGAAGCTGAGACAAGGGAATCACTATGAGTCTGAGTTGCACAGTGAGACTCTGTACCAAATACCCTGTACCAAATGAATAAATAAAAGACTAAAAAAAAAAAAAATCTACCTCACATATTTACAGAGATAGAGATAGATCAGTAATGACCAGTGACCCCAAGGGGTTGTCCACTATTGGGCTTGTCCACTACTGGGCTTGTCCACTATTTTCTATTAATAGGTTCACAAAAGCTGGAAAGCATTTTGAAAAGGACTGGTCCATTTTGCCATCTTGAGTTTAAAAAAAAAAATTCAAAGGACCTGGGGACATAGCTCAGCGGCATAAGCACCAGCCTGGCAAGCGCAAGGTCCTGAGTTCAATCCCCAGTACCGCCAAAAAAAACAGATTTAAAAAAAAAAAATTCAAGACCTATAAGAACATAGTTGTAGGATCACAAGTCTGCATCTTGTACAGCAATTAACCACTAAGAAGAATATATGCAGTGTATTATTTGTTGAAACTGTACTTTCGATTTATGTTTATCAATAAAACTTTGAAAAAAAAAAAAAAAAAAAAGAACATAGTTCTATAGAATCACAGGCAAGTTCCAATAAAGCCAAGAACTAAAAAAAATAAATAAAAAATAAAAAATAAAGCCAAGAACTAAGATTTCCTCTCCTCACTATGTAGTTCAGGCAGGCCCCAAGCTCATCCTCCTGCCTCAGCCTGCCAAATGCTTAGATTAGAATGCTGGAATTACAGGCATACACCACTGCACCCAGCAAGATTTCCTTGTGTATTTAAAGGAAAGCAGGCACATGACCTCCCTGTGGGTATTCTGAAAGGCTTAACTCTAGCTGTGGGGTTACACAGTAAAGAGTTGGGCCCCACATGAAATGGACCAGACATAGTACTTAGGCCTCCTTTGCCTCATGCAGCCCAGCAACACAGAAACATTTATTTCATACACAGAAATAAATGTTCCTAACAAAATGTTCTCAGTCAAAACTTGGAAAGCAGCTAAATATCCAATAGGAAGCCAATTATGTAGCTATTAAGCCATTTTTTAAGGAATATTAATGTTAGGGCCAGCGAGATAGCTCAGCAGACTAAGCGCCTACTTTGGCAAGTTCAGAAACTGGGGTTCGATCCCAGGTACCACAAGCTGCACCGGCTCCGCCCCCCAGGGCACACTGAGCTGGTGAGTCCAAGCATGGTGACACATGCCTGTAATCCCAGCTGCTGGGGAGGCTGAAAACAGGAGGATCACTACGAAGTCTGAACTGTGTAGTATGACCCTATACAAAAAATGTAAATAAATAAATTAAAAAGAATATTAATGTTATACTAAATACTCATGATTTGGTATTAAAAAATACAATGTTAACTATGTGAGACAATATACATTTAAAAACTATACAAATGTGTGTATGAATTTTACACATATTTATAGACCAGGAATATACTAGAAAGGTAATCATGTTTTCTTGATTTAGCTTAAATTTTCTTTTTTAAACCCTTGCTATGTTTTCCCAATTGTCTAAAATAAACTTATAATGCTTCTGCTGGCAAACGTCTATAACCCCAGCACTCTAGGAGGCTGAGACCTGACAGTTCAATTGAAGCCCAGCATAGGTAAATATAGTAACTCAGCAAAGCCCTGTCTCGAAATAAAAAAATAATATAGAGGGCTCAGTGTGAAGGCCCTGGGTTCAATACTCAGTGCCACCAAAAAGAAAGAGAAGGGAAGGGAAGGGGAAGAAGGGGGTGGGGAGAGGAGAGGAAGGAGAAAGAGAGAGATGGAGGAAGGGAGGGGGAGGGGGAGGGGAGAGGAAATTGGGTATCTCAATGTTTTCCCATCATTTTAAACTTGACCAAAAGAGAAGTGGTAAGAGTGGCACACCTGTGATCCCAGCTATCAGAAACATGATAACTAAAGAGCGCTGGCTTCAAGATCAGCCTGGGCAAGCTAGAGATCTAGTCTCAAAATAAAATGCCTGGGAGGCCGTTAAGAAGTAGAGCACCTGGGCTGGGGAGATGGCTCAGTAGATTAAGTGCTTGCCTGGCAAGCACAAGGGCCTGAGTTCAATCCCTCTTTCCACCAAAAATAAATAAATAAATAAAAGAAGTAGAGCACCTGTCTCCTCACATACCAGCCCAGGACTCAAAGATTAAACCTTATAAAATAAAATATTTTATAAGGCTAGTAAGATTAAACCAGGTCAGTCACCAAGCCCCAACCTACCTTTCTTTTATTGTGATACGTAACGTAGACAACGGCAATACAAAAAGCGAAGATAATAAGGTGAAAAAAGAAGTGGCTGTCCTCCCCTTCCACGTTTGAGGGTGGGGACTTGAAAGCGCTCACGGACTGCGCGATTTCCACGTAGCTGCCGCGCTCCTCCAAGGCCTCCTCCTGCTCCTCATCCCTGGGGCTGGGCGTCCAGTTGTAGTCGGCCTCACCCTCTCCGTAGTCCCCGTTGTCCAGGGGGTCTCTGCCTGGGGACTCAGGGCTGTTCGGGATGAGCAGCTCCTCCCCTTCCTCCTCATCCTCCTCCTCCAGGCCTGGGGCCTCGGGGTCAACAGCTGCCTCTGGGCGCAGAGAGGGGCTGGGCGAGGGCCGGGAGGCTGCTGGCGCCTCTGTGCTCTTCTCAGTGCCAGCTGGGGCAGGGAAAGTGGTGCTGACGGGGGAAGCGGAAGGCGTGGTTTGATTTTCATGTCTGAGAGCATTCGTAGAAGTAATTAGGGTAAGTACAGTTTGATTTTCAAGCTGTGCCGCTGACATATCTGAAATAAGTGAATAAAGACATCACCCAGAAACCTCTAGTTTTATCTCCACCACACTATAAAGCACATTTACTTAAAGTCATTGGTAAGCATTTCTTAGCGAAATTCCCGTAACTTTGCCTTGAGAACTAGGTATGAAACCACAGACAGCGCTCGGGTTCATCTCTAAGCTAAACACTAAGCAGATGACAGCTGCTTTACTGGTAGTAACACCTGCATCGCCAGCCACAAAAGGCAAAGGGCGGGGAGCAGAGGCCAAGAGCTAGAGGCCCTCCCCTCCCCACTGCGCCTCCATGGCGCTATGCTCCCCATCGTGTTGTGCCCCCTCCCCGCTGTGATCCCCCCCAACGCTATGCTCCCATGGCACCATGCTCCTCCCAAAGAGTGAATGATTCAAGCTGTGCCCGCCCAGGCCCCACCCCAGCCTTCTGAACAGAAAGCAGGGGATGTACAGAAGGCCACGCTCTGAACCTAACCCTTTTCAGCACATCACAGCACACTACAGAGAAGGGACAATCAGGCTGCAGGCAGCATTTTTAAGGGACACATGGACAGAAAGATGACTCCTTCCAGTTAAAAAAGAAAACACTGGGGCTGGTGACATGGCTCAGTGGTCTAAAGTACCTACTTAGAACAAGCTTAGCAAAGCACAGGGACCGCCGGTTCAATCCCCCAGCACCACATGCCAGCCAGCCCCGCCCCCTGGTGGGCTGAGCTGGCCACACACACACACACATAAACACACATAAATTAAATAAATTAAAAAAAAAAATACAATTAAAAGGGGCCGGGGAGATAGCTCAGTGGAATAAGCACTTGCCTGGCAAGAGTAGGGGTCTGAGTTCAATCCCTGGTTCCGCGAAAATAAATAAATACATAAATACAATTAAAGCAACTAAGGGGGCCGGGGAGATGGCTCAGTGGAATAAGCGCTTCCCTGGCAAGTGCAAGGGCCTGAGTTGAATCCTCGGTTCCGCAAAAAAAAAAAAAAAAAAAAGCAACTAAGAGACAACTAACCAGCATCAATTTTTAACAGAACTGTTGTTCTGTGTCTGACTTTTTGGATAACTGGTTATCTCTGAGGGACACACATGGACAGGAGAGGGAGGAACACAAAGAAGTCCCTCGCCACGCATGCTACAACTCAGGTCCTCAGCAGATCTCTTCTTTCCTGCTCACACGCTCGCGCTCGGGAGAACCCATGCCCGGCTCTTCCCTGAAGCACATCCGCCTTGCAGCTCTTCTCATTCTGCTTCCTCCCGCACATCTGCACTCCAGTTTGGAGAAGAGCTGCCACTTCCTCGCTGCCCCTCCAGATTAGGCTCTCAGCTTCTCCAAATCACTTGTTTTTTGGGTCTCCGATCTTCAACTATCACCCAGGACCTTTCCTCCACCAACTCCAAAGTCATGCCCCAAATTCTTAATGATTTTAGCTCCTGGCTCTACAGCCCGCTCTAACCACAGACAAGTATTTCCAGCCTGATGGCCTCTCTTCTGATGAGCTGTCCCTTCCCACTGTCCGCTCTCTCCCCCATGGTTATCAGCTCTCCCATAACTTCAGTGCCATGCAGTCTACTTGCCAACATGGTCACCTACCCTTCTACAGTTCACTCACTGTTATTCTCAGTTCATCAAAACTACCAGCCTCTGGGCCGGGGAGATAGCTCAGTAGGATAAGCACTTGCCTCGTAAACGCAAGGACCTGAGTTCAATCCCTGGTTCCGCAAAAAAAAAACTACCAGCTTCCGACCAACACCAAACCCTGCCCCTAACTGTCCTCTCTTCACTAAGACTCAGGTCTGTGCTCAGACACATGATCTTCTCACATCCATATTCAATTTCTTCCCTCCCCCCCATCTGTCCCACTCATTCAGTGAGGCTGTTCACCCCAGCTCCCCATCTGCACCACACACCTGAACATGCCTGGGAATAAATGTACAACCATGCCACTGTTTGCACCTCTCTTGAACTTCCATACCAAATTCAGGGGTCAGTTTATAGCTGTCAGCATTAACAGTACATTTTCCCAGTCCATGTATCTTCCTCCTCTCTTAGGAAAACACTCCTCTCTCCTCCAACTTCCAACACCACCTCTGTTATTCTCACTCGCAGCTGACACCATCACCTCCTAATTTCAGAGAAGGAGGCCATCAGAAGAGAAGTTCAGGGAACTACCAGAACTCTCAGCTTGCACATTCAACTGTCCTTCTGCCATCTCCTCTCAGATAAATGAACATGTCTTCAAAGAAAAATGTAACAGGTGTGCCACTGCTCTGCCACCATCACTATAGACCAACAGCTCTTATGCATATACGTTCTTAACTAATATTAGCGAGTAGAAATTAGCAATGAAAGTGTTATAGTTTGGATGATGGCTGACTCACAAAGGCCTGCAGGCTAAGGCTCAGTTCCCAGTGTGGCACTGGGGGAAGGCTGTGGAGACTTGTGGAGACCCACAGGTCATTGGGACATGGCCTCAATGGGGACTATGGATCCTGTTCTTTCTTCCTCTCTCTTCTCTCCTCTCCTCCTCTCCCCTCTCCCTCCCCCATCTCGTTCCACCACACATTCCCACTAGGATCCACTGCCCTTGCCAAAAGCCCAAAGTCATGGGGTCAAACATCTAAGACTTGAACCTTCCTGAGCCAGAATAAACTCTTTCTCCTTACAATTTCCTCAGTTATTTCATTACTGAAACATAAAACAAAAGTAACATAAAACTGAGTAATACAATAAAAAAAAATTGGGGGCCTGCCCATTAGCTCAGGTGTTTAAGTGCCTGCTGAAATAAAGCAGTCAGGCTCAGGATGCTCTGGTTCAATCCCCTCATCCTCAAGCCAAACCAGACCTGCCCTGAAGACATCCTGAGCAGCCCCCTCAAAAAAAAAAAAAAAAAATTATAAGAACAGGATGTAGCTAACTGCTGGAGTATAGATTTCCTATAGTATAGCAAGCAGAAGGTCCTAGGTTTGGTCCCCATCATCACACACACATACAAAAATTATATGCCAGCGGCCGGGGAGATGGCTCAGTGGAATAAGCGCTTGCCTGGCAAGTGCAACGGCCTGAGTTCAATCCCAGGTTCC